TAAGCCCTGGATATAACACAGCATGTAGAAGAAGACTGAAAAAAGAAGCCAGCCAGCCTAGGGACCTCAGGCCTTGAAGAACAACCTGGCAGTGATCCCCTTAGTCGGCCTTATTGCTTCCCCTGTATCCCGAGAGCTGACGCAGGGTGAGATAGTGTCAGTATGGTGGAGGATACAGCTGGTTTGTATCTGCTGAATATTCCCAACCTACTTGGGATTATTTAATAATCCTTGTACAAAGTAATTACAAAGTATAAAGTTTCAGCAATTCATAGCACCCTATCACAATAGAAGGGCAGTCCCTGCTTTTGGAGAAGTATGCTCCACTTTTTGTCACACTGCCACTACTGCAGTTGACCAGAATGTGGTTAGCACAACTGTTGTTTGGTGGACACTCTGTCATTTCTATTTCTATTAGTGGCCACTGCACCACAATGTATTTAAAATTCATATTGGATAATACAAATTATGCATTTTAGAGGATGCCAGAGTTCTTCCAAGACTGAGATAAATTGAAGTCAGAGATTTGAAAGAAGTGCCTTATTTTTATTTGCTGCAATAATTTGCTTTTCATTCTTCAGTCCTATATGAGAAACTATATTACAGGCTGCTTAATTACCCTCAACACATGTGGCAGACTTAATTGCTTATAATTGTCAGTATCTCCATTTGCCTTTTCCAATTCACTGAAACAACAGTGAAGTTGACGGCTTTTCTTTATGTGAGGGCTACTTAAGAGTGCAGCAGGTTACAGAAAAGGGATGTTTAGTAAACTAGGGTTTTGCCCCAGAGTGTAGAATACTGATCAAGCGGTTTCCAAAACCAGTTGACAAAGTGGTGATGATCTTATCATGAGAAATTTATTTAGCACCCAATTAGGGCACAATCACTTAAAACAAAAACTTTTATTTAAAATTTTACTGACGTGTAACCATGTAAGTCTACTTTGGGTGGAGCACTGCCATGCTCATCCTGTTTCAAGTAAGATGAAGAGTGAATAATAATTGAAAATCTGTGAATAGGTCTTCAACTAGTCATTTTTTTTCTTCATATTTCAAAAAAGAATAAGTTTGAATGTGGGTCTTTTCAAAAGCATGTGGCCATAAGTGGGTCTTGCCCCCTAAGGAACTAATACCATATGGAACCAATAAGGTTCCCGCAGGAGGCAAGTGGAAATGTCTCATGGCTCCTGGGGAGACCAGAACCGTCACAGCTTTTCTCCTGGGGCTCGGTAGAGACGTGCGGAAAGTCTTGATCCCATGTAAGCTTCTCAGAAGCCCAAGGTCTCGCAGTGCGGTGTGCCTGCGACCACGGCCCTGCCACCAGGAGGGTGATGGGTGCTCTGGCCCCAGGGTCCTGGGAGAGCCAGCCTGGTGGCACATCAGGCACAGATGTGGCCCTGGTACCCAGGGCTAACCTCGTGTCTAGTCCTGGCTATCGGTTTGGAAGCTGTTGGCTAATCTGTGCCCATTCACATCTTCTAAGTACAGAGAGTGTGCTCCTTTCTTCCATGCAATACCTGACTCTTTCTTTTCTATTTCTTCCCATTTTAGAACCAGCGAAGAATTTCTTTTCACAGTCCACCCCAGCAGAGGCTGCTGAGCCAAGGTAAGTGTCCCCTCTTAGAGCATCACATTCTAACTAAGTTTCTACGGCACACAATGTTTAAATCCTAAGTGTTTATACTGTTGTCATACCTCCCCCTTCTACCCACCCTCAGTTCCTGGCAATCGGTGAGGGTGATAGTGTCATCTTTTGAACTCCAAATACAGCCAGGATGTAGTGAGCAGAGGGACCCCCCCCCTACTTTTGAGGGGCATCTCCTGGTGTTGGATCAGAAGTATGTGCCCCAGACTCTGACCCCAGCCAGCAGGTTCCTGCCCTCTTTCTGGCGTCCCCGTGCTGCAGGCTGCTGTCTCTTCCCATTAATTGGTTTGTGATGGCAGTTGCCAAACTGCTGTTGTCTTGGCAGGGATGGAGGTTACATCTGCATCAAACTTTAATTGCTTGAAACCTACATTTGTACAGAATCCAAATAAAATTGAGGGAAAGTGCATACATAGGAGCTATGAGAATGAAGAGAAAGAACTATTATGTTTGATTCTAGATCAATGGTAAAAATCTGCTATGAAGGTAACAAATTTGAATATGCTATAATGGAATAGGAACTATTACGATTGAAAAGATGACACATTTTATGGTAAATTTACACATTGACAATAAATATGTCAGTTCCTCCTGTCAGTACACAATAATTAGTGCCTATGCACTCTTCATTTAGTTGATGACAAGTAAGGAAATCTCTTTTTGGTCTAGCTACCTCTAGGAATGCTAAGTTACCTGTGTACTTTGTGAACAAGTATATTTATATTTATCTTTGTTCCTTTAACAAACCTTGGAATGGGGTGATTTTTCTCCCTTCATGTCTTTAAGTGTCTGCTCTTAGGGTGCCTTCCACCTGGGGTCTCGATTTCTGGTTTGGCAGTCCTGTCCTGTCCAAATCCACCTCCCCACATCAAAAGCCAGAGTGAAATATGAAGATGTTATCAGCGACTGAAAAGCATTTAGTGGTCACTTAGTGCCTATACGACAGGATGAGTCTTAAATGCCTTAATATTTCATATGAAGGTCTCCATGGTCTGGCCCTTGACACTAATTTTTAGCAGTCTTTCTCTCTGTCTCTCTCTCCATCCCTTTTCTACTAATTTATTCCCCTACAGTTTGTCCACTCACTCAGCAGGTTTGTCTTAATGAGGGGCTGCCCTGAAAATGCCGAGATGGTTCATGCTTCTATGCCTTTGTTCACTGATTCATCTGCCTAAAATGTCCCATCCTCTCACTTATTTATATTCAAGACTCAGCTCAATAATTATCTCTCTTCTGATACATTTGAGCATTTCTATATGTTCATTTCTGCTTTATGTGATTGAATATGTATCTGTGTCATACCGCTATTTTTTAAAAAAAATTTTGGGCTCATTTCTAATAGCCAGTGCCTATAGTGAAATTTCAGTTGAATTAGAGAACATTTCCTAAAATAGTCAAACATTTTAAATGTAAAAAGTGGCAATGAGTCCAAAATCAGTTATTCCTCATCTGTATATGAGTCGACCTAATGGTTAGGGGGCCCTGCCTTTGCAGTCAGACCTCGGCTGCTGTAAACGTGATTTTATCAGTCTCTGACTTGGAAATGTTACTTAATCTAAGACACAGTATCTTCTGTGAAGTTAAAGTAACTCTACTCATTAGTATTGTTTTGTGTATTAAAGGCAATATTGTATGAAGAGTACTTAGCAAACTCCCTAGCATCTAGTAAGTGCTCAATAAATTGTTATTAGAGAATATTCTGGACTGATTGCTCAGGCCTCATGTTAAAAGTGATCAAAATGTAACCCTGCCAAATTTTTGCCTATTGCCATACTCTTCAGTTTGAGGGGAATGCATGTAAACAGCTCATTTTCTTTATCTTAATAAATGGCATCTCTTCCACATAATAAGCCATGTATCTGAGATTCCTCTTTGATTTCTCTTTCTCTCACTTCCCTGTTCAGTTCATCAATTATCACTGAAGAGTCTTCTAAAATCCATCTGAAATCCACCCATTTCTCTGAAATCACTGTATTCTGGATTACTGTCAGCTTCTCTGAATAGCCTCTCTCCAATCTCACAACACCCACCCCTGCTTCTGCAGCATCTTTTGCATAGCATAAATCATGCCATGTGCCCCCACTCAGCTGGAATCCTTCCTTGCTTCCCATTGCAGCTAGAACACTGTTCAGAGCTCTGATTGTGACCCATGGGCCCTGCAGCTTCTGGCCTCGCCTGCCTTCCCCTCGCTGTTCTGCTCGTACCATCAGGCATCGCCAGGGTGGCCCATTTCAGCACTGCTGCCTCCGTCTGCAGCTCTTCCAAGGGCTGGGCCCTGGGACCCTTCTCTGCCTAAATGTTACCTCCTCAGAGGTCAGAAGGAACTTCCTTGATCACACTAGTATGAATTTCTATTTTTTAACCTTCATAGAAATTATCTTAGACTTTACTATGCATTTCTTTTTTGTTTGCTTATTTAAAAAAATCTCCCAGAAACTCTCAGCTCCACTCTCAAGTACTTAAAGCTTCCGGGTAGTGAAGCCCATGTTTATTGCTCACCACTGTGCTTGCTTGTCTCCTCCCTCCTATAAACCCACACCTACATTTGTAATGTCCTAATATGGAGTAAGAGTCCCTTTCACACTTACTGTCATTTATAGCTCATATGCAATTTCATTTACTTTATTCTGAATGAATATTAATGTTCACATTTACAGAAGAGGACACTGGATTTCAGAAAGGAGAAGATGTCAGGGTCATATAGAGAATGAGGGGCAGACCTGGTACTTGACTGAGGTCCAGGGCTTTGATACTGACAAGCCTGACGCTTGGTCTGGCCTCTCATGCGCCGCACAGACAGCGACAGCCACGCTCCCATCTCCATGCTTGGGAGAGAGAAAGAAAGTAATGGTGTGTGAGGGGAAGTGAGTTACAAGGAAGAACTTCCAGAACTCTGGGTAGATGGGCCAGTGAGACTAGTATTGTTTTGTGGATTACAACCTGGGGATTGGCAATGGTAACCTGGAATATGGAGGTTGATACTGTTTAATTTTGGGGTAGTTGTGAGGGTGGTATAGAATATTAGATAGAGCATGGGCTTTAGACTCAGACTTGAATGTGATTCCTGCCCTGCTACCAGTGGGAACTTGGTAAGTTACTCAATACCACCCCAAGGTTCAGTTTCCTCACTACTAAAATGGGCATAATAACATATGGAAAGGGGCTATGTGAGAATTAAATTATGTATGTAATGTACTCAGCGTATAGTCTAGCCTATACTTTATTATTAATAAGTGATATCTGCTACTATTATTGCTAGTCAGAGAAGGCAAAGGGTGGAAGATTCTAACTGGACCATGGAGTCTGACCACGTCATTTTTCCTCCCAGGGGAGCTAAGCCCTGTGTCTCTGATATGGAAGCAGAGAACCAGACACAAGTCACCGAATTCGTTCTGGTGGGGTTCCCCGGGAACTGGGGCGTGCGTGTAGCCCTGTTTCTGATGTTCCTTGGTGCCTATGTTCTGACAGTGGTGGAAAACGTTGTCATCATCCTGTTGGTGCAGCAGAGCCGGACACTGCACAAGCCCATGTACTTCTTCCTGGCCAACCTGTCCTTCTTGGAGACCTGGTACATCTCCGTGACTGCACCCAAGTTGCTGTTTAGTTTTTGGTCTGCGAGCAGCAGCATTCCCTTTACTCACTGTATGATCCAGCTTTACTTCTTCATCGCGCTCATGTGCACTGAATGTGTGCTCCTCGCTGCCATGGCCTATGACCGGTATGTGGCCATCTGCCGTCCGCTCCACTACCCGACTGTCATGAGCCACCGGCTCTGCTTCTGTCTGGCTCTTGGTTGCTGGGCCACTGGCTTTGGTATCTCCTTGGCTAAGATCTACTTCATCTCTCACCTCAGCTTCTGTGGTCCCAATGTCATCAACCACTTCTTTTGTGACATCTCTCCGGTCCTCAATCTCTCCTGTACAGACATGTCCAAGGCTGAGTTGGTGGACTTTGTCCTGGCACTGCTCATTTTCCTCTTCCCCCTCTCCGTCACTGTGCTGTCTTACGGATGCATTCTGGCCACTGTTCTACGCATGCCCACGGGAAAGCAGAAAGCATTCTCTACTTGCGCCTCCCACCTCGTGGTGGTCACCATCTTCTATTCAGCCACTATTTTCATGTATGCCCGTCCCCGAGCCATCCATGCCTTCAACATGAACAAAGTTATTTCCATCTTCTATGCCATTGTCACCCCTGCTCTCAACCCTTTCATTTATTGCTTACGGAACCGAGAGGTCAAAGAAGCTCTGAAGAAACTGGCCTATTGCCAGGCCATCTGATTGGACTAGTCTATTACGAGTTATCAGAAAAAAATACTTTGATCTGGTACCTGTTCTTCCATCCTCCATCCGTTCTCCTTTAATGCCTCAGCCGGGTGTTACTCATGTCAGTATGACATCACCACATCTGCACCAACCACAGGCTCTTGGTTGTTCCGTGAGGTCTGCACCTGCACATGTGGTCTGTGCTCTCAGGGCATGCTGCCTGCGTAGAGAATGCTTTTTGGCTCTGACCTAAAGGGGGGTTTCTAAGACAGTGAGTAAATATCTGAGTTACATGCAGAGAGATGGCAGTGTATGAGTGAACTATTTTAGGATTTAGCAAGCATTAAAGCTTTGGGGCCAACAGATTTTATGATGGCTTCCTGACTTCCCGGCTTCCTGGATTCCCGGTTCCCTGACTGAGGCAGCACCCTCTGCAATACCGTCCTGGATGTGTTGGAGTCAGTCTTGATGACAGAGGCTAAAGACATCTCCTCTACTTCTTCCAACACCTTTTGTAAGCACCTGGTTCCCTGTATTAAATTCCTTTCTGCTTCAAACAGCTAAAGTGCTTTCAGTTAGCTATACATGACCTGTACCGAATACAGTTATATTTGTCTTCTGACATAACATATAGTTACTTTGTACTGAATTTTGTATTTCCCTTCTGTGCATTGTAACATGCTTTTATCCTCTAGGGATGAGCACAGAATAGATGATAAATAAATATCATCAAGCATAGACTTTGCTGAATGAAAGCGCCCTCATCAGCCATCTTTGCTCCTGATCCCCGTGTCCTCTGACCCCTACTCATTTTTCCTTTCCTTCCTTGCCATCACTCTCTCATCACAAGTCCAACATAAAAGTAGCCCAATTTTGGGATTTGACAGATTTTCATTGTGTGCCACAGTGACTCTCAACTCATTGATCAGATGCTCTGTGCATGTATGCCAGACCTTTTTGATCAAATGAGCTCACACATCCACACAAGGATACATAGATATGCCCCCGCTTGGTTCATAGTTTTGTCAGTATCCAAGGAAGCTATACTTTAAGCTGTGTTCAATATAACATGCCAGTGCCAGGAGGAATTTAAATCTTCCATTAGAACAGTTTAAAATAGGATGGCTATTAGCTTTTGCCACCTCTTTCATCTAAGAATAAATAACTCTTTGAAGAATGTTTTCTCTTTCTTTTGAAGTAAGAGGCAGTAGGTGGGATGCTTTGCTACATTTTATAAATTTCTAGAATAGAAACTTAAGGAAGTAAATACCCTAACCACAGACAGTGGGGAGCTGAGGTCAGAGCCGAGGTCTCTTGAGTCTGAGCCCTGGGTTTCTTTCCTCGGTTCACATACTCTCCCTAGAGAGAATACATTCTTCTTCAGCTGAGTGTGGAAGCCATGCATGTGGCATTCTGTTGGAATCATTAATTGCTATACCTGATGAATTGTTAATAAAATAAAAATGGACAAATGTGAAGTATATTCCTCAGGAAGTTAAAAAAACAATGATAAAATACAAGCCTACCTTATTTAGGGAATAAATACAAAAGGAAATGAGTTTTATAATAGAAATGATTTAATATTTGCTCCTAGAACATATTTGGTCCTTTGATGCAATAAAAAAGTGATTATGACTGTATTTCCATTTGAAACCAAAGATGTAAAGAAAAATGATAATTTTCTGAGATAACTCAGATGAATCAAAACATAATGGCATAGCCATATTGGGGTATGAAATATAGACATTCAGGCAAAGACAACTTCAGCAAGAATTGATAAATGAGGGATAAAAACAACCAACTGCCTGGCTGCTGACAATCGGTTTCAGTCTCAGATATATTTGCATCATGTGACCTGAGACACTATCTAAACTCTCTGAAATACTGATTCTTCATGTGTTAAATAGGAATAATAATTCTTTCTTTGCTTCTCTTACACAATGGTTATTAGGATCAATTGCATGATATAAAATAGCTTCATAGGTAAAGATCTGAGCCAGAATAAGATCTAGCTAGGCAGGTTGAAACTTTTTTAGGGTTTCCATGGGGAAACTAGCTGGGGAGTTTCTCTAGACCAATCTGAATCCACCCACACTGACCGAGCTCCACATACCTTAGTCTGGGAGGCTCCGTATGTTTCATTTCTCATAACTGGCTAGGTGAGGGAGAGTGGGGAAGTAGGGTTGCTTTGTAGATGCTATTGTGTCTCAGAGAGCAGAGGGAATCAGTAATGTAGCCTTGACCTCTTTGTGAGACGAATACCGAAATGCATGGAATAAGCAAAGTAGAGAGTACAGATCAGATCCATGTAGGAATCAGCCTCAACCAAGAGAAGATGATGGATAGCAGGGTAATGGATCCATGCGGCCGGAAGGTGAGACGCACAGAGCAAGTTAGACTCTTTGAGCCAGTCTACCTGCATAGGGTAAGCCTGCTCTAGAGTCTGGTGCTCAGCGGTAGCAGCTTATCCAGAGACCAAACCTAGGATTCAGTTATCACCAACCAAACCCATAAGGGAATTCATTAAATCAAATCAAATATATTAGTTATACCTGCAGTATACATTTTTTTCTCTTTTTATTCAGGTATCATTGATATGTAATCTTATAACAGTTTCACATGAGGAACACTGTGGTCACTGCATTCACCCATCAAGTCCCCACTCACACCCATTACAGTCACTGTCCATCAGCATAGTAAGAGGCTCTAGAGTCACTACTTGTCTTTGTGCTATACTGCCGTCCCTGTGACCCCCCCACATTATGTGTGCTAATCACAATGGCCTTTAATCCCCTTCTCCCTTCTTCCCCACCTGCCCTCCCCCACCCCTCCCCTTTGGTAAATGCTAGTCCCTTATCTGAGTCTGTGAGTCTACTACTACTTGTTTTTTTTCAGTTTTTCTTTGTTATCCTTCACAAATGAGTAGAATCATTTGGTATTTGTCTTTCTCTGCCTGTCTTATTTCACTGACCATAATACCCTCTAGCTCCATCCATGTTGTTGCAAATGGTAGGATTTGTTTTCTTCTAATGGCTGAATAATATTCCATTGTGTATATGTACCACATCTTCTTTATCGATTCATCTACTGTTGGACACTTAGGTTGTTTTCATTTTTTGGCTATTATAATTAGTGCTGTGATAAACATAGGGGTGCATATGTCTTTTTGAAGCAGGGGTCCTATATTCTTAGGATAAATTCCTAGGAGTGGAATTCCTGGGTCAAATGGTATTTCTATTTTTAGTTTTTTGAAGAACCTTCATATTCCTTTCCACAGTGCTTGAACTAACTTACCTTCTCACAAACAGTGTAGGAGGGTTCCCCTTTCTCCATATCCTGACCAGCATTTCTTGTTCCTGGTCTTTTGGATACTGGCCATCCTAACTGCTGTGAGGTGATATCTCATTGTGGTTTTCACTTGCATTTCCCTCATAATTAGTGATGTGGAGCATCTTTTCATGTGCCTGTTGGCCATCTGAATTTCTTCTTTGTAGAAGTGTCTGTGCAGATCCTCTGTCCATTTTTTAATTGTGTTATTTGCTTTTTGGGTGTTGAGGTATGTGAAATCTTTATATATTTTGGATGTTAACCCCTTATTGAATGTCTCATTTATTAATATATTCACCCATACTGTAGGATGCCTTTTTGTTCTGCTGATGGTGTCCTTTGCTGTACAGAAACGTTTTAGTTTGATATAGTCCCATTTGTTCATTTTTGCTTTTGTTTCCCTTGCTGAAGGAGATGTGTTCAGAAAAAAGTTGCAAATGTTTATATTCAAGAGATTTTTGCTTATGTTTTCTTCTATGAGTTTTATGATTTCATGACTTAGATTCAGGTCTTTGATCCATTTTGAGTTTACTTTTGTGTACACACTTAGACAATAATCCAGTTTCATTCTCTTACACTTAGCTGTCCAGTTTTGTTAACACCAGTTGTTGAAGAGGCTGTCATGTTCTCATTGTATATCCATGGCTCCTTTATCATATATTAATTGACCATGTATGCTTGGGTTTATATTTGGGCTCTCTGTTCTGTTGCATTGATCTATGGGTCTGTTCCTGTGCCATTACCAAATTGTCTTGATTACTGTGGCTTTGTAGTAGAGCTTGAAATTGGAAGTGTAATCCCCTCAGTTTTATTTTTCTTTCTCAGGATTGCTTTGGCTATTCGGGGTCTTTTGTGGTTCCATATGAATTTTAGAACTATTTGTTCTAGTTCATTGAAGAATGCTGTCAATGTTTTGATAGGGATTGCATTGAATCTGTAGATTGTTTTAGGCAGGATGGCCATTTTGACAATATTAATTCTTCCTATCCATGAGTATGGGATGTATTTCCATTTATTGGTGTCTTCTTTAATTTCTCTCATGAGTATCTTGTAGTTTTCAGGATATAGGTCTTTCACTTCCTTGATTAGGTTTATTCTTTTGGATGCAATTGTGAATGGAATTGTTTTGTAGATTTCTCTTCCTGCTAGTTCATCATTAATATATAGGAATGGCACATATTTCTGTGTATTCATTTTGTATCTGCAACTTTGCTGAATTCAATTACTAGTTCTAGTAGTTTTGGGGTGGATTCTTTAGGATTTTTTATGTATAACATCATATCATCTTCAAACAGTGGGAGTTTAACTTGTACCTTACCAATCTGGATGCATATTATTTATTTGTGTTGTCTGATTGTCATGGCTAGGGCCTCCAAAACTATGATGAATAAAAGTGGGGAGAGTGGGCATGCTTGACTTGTTCCCAAACTTAGAGGAAAAGCTTTCAGCTTTTTGCTGTTAAATATGATGTTGGCTGTGGGTTGGTCATATATGGCCTTTATTATGTTGAGGTACTTGTCCTCTATACCCATTTTGTTGAGTTTTTATCATGAATTGATGTTGAACTTTGTTGAATGCTTTTTCAAAATGTATCGAGATGACCATGTGGTTTTCATCCTTCTTTTTGTTGATGTGGTGGATGATGATGATGGATTTTTGAATGTTGTACCATCCTTGCATCCCTGGAA